GGGGGGGGCATGCTGAGGGTTCTGGTGGAGGAGGAGAAGTTGTGGATCTTCACAGATTGTGGTCTGTTGATTAAAAAGTCTAGGACCCAGTTGCATAGAGGAGCTTAGTCCTAGTGTGATTAGTTTGTCCATCAGCGTCTGGGGAATCATGGTGTTGTTCACGCGAGAAGCTGTAAAAAATGGCAGGTTGGCTTTCTTGGACTGTGAGGTCTCAGTCTCTGATAGAGGACATTTGCAAACTGAGGTGTACCGCAACCCCACCCACACAGACCAGTATTTGCAGTTTGACTCCCATCACCCTTTGGAGCACAAGTGAGGAGTCATCAGGACTCTGTATCACAGAGCAGACAGCGTCCCCACCAAGGGCGTCAGAAGCATCCGTAATGTGGGGGGGACACAACGATGTGTGTGTGCGCAAAAGAAATATACGTACACTAATGCACAAAAAAAAGCAACATTTCACCTAGATTTGCTTTAATTCCACACGTTTAAATCATGTTTCTCACCAAGTTTGTGTAAATTCAGCTGTGGGTTTTAAAGACATTTTAACTTTAATACACTTCAACACAGAGCGTCAGATCTGCACTATTTGTCTTTATAGGGAAATAAAAAACATCACCACTGGACATTTTTACTTGTGTTCAACAAAATCAAAATCACAAAGAGACAGAGATTCTTGCCAGGGGACTGAACTTTGCGGTTGCACCAAGTAGAATTCCTCTGGTGGAGATGATCACAGCCACTGAGTCAGCCATCCGCAACAACAAAATTAAAGAGGCTGAAGCAGAACAGCTCAGAATCAAAGTTTCAGCCTGCCTCAGCAATGCCAAACCACCACCTTCCAACATCAGTAGAGAGGAGAGGGACGCACTCACCACTCTTAGCAAGGACAAAAACATCATCATTCTCCCAGCAGACAAAGGAAGGTGCACAGTGATTTTGAACCAGAAAGACTATCATGAGAAAGTTATGACACTCCTTAGTGACTTAAACACTTATGAACCTCTGAAAAGAGATCCAGGAAGTGGTTACAAGAAGAAATTGATAGATTGCCTGAAAATTTTGGAGCAGGACAAGGCTATTGACCGTTTTCTGTACCACAGACTGTACCCAGGGGAGGCCACACCTAGTCTGTATGGTTTACCTAAAATCCACAAACAAGGCGTACCTTTAAGACCAATCGTTAGCATGATTAACTCTGTCACTTACAATGTTTCCAAATATCTGGCGTCTGTACTCATCCCTTTAGTTGGCAGCTCAGAACACCACATACAGAACACCATGGACTTTGTGGATAAGGTGAGGGATGTCATCATGGAGACTGATGAAACAATGGTCTCTTTTGATGTCACATCACTCTTTACGTGCATTCCTGTTGATGATGCAGTAGAGGTGGTCAGTTTAAGATTAAAATCAGACACCACTCTGAGCAGCAGGACCACGCTTTCCACAGAACAACTGTGTCAACTCTTGAAACTGTGCCTGCAGTCAACCTACTTCACATATGGGGAGCAATATTATAGGCAGAAACATGGGTGTGCTATGGGGTCTCCAGTTTCTCCTATTGTTGCCAACCTGTACATGGAGGAGGTAGAAAAGAGAGCCTTGACGTCCTTTTCAGGGACACCACCAAGTCATTGGTTCAGGTATGTTGACGACACCTGGGTTAAAATTAAATCTCAGGAAGTCCAAAATTTTACTGACCACATCAACTCTGTGGATAAATACATCAAGTTCACACGAGAAGATGGAAAAAAAATGGCAAGTTGGCTTTCTTGGACTGTGAGGTCTCAGTCTCTGATAGAGGACATTTGCAAACCGAGGTGTACCACAAACCCACCCACACAGACCAGTATTTGCAGTTTGACTCCCATCACCCTTTGGAGCACAAGTTAGGAGTCATCAGGACTCTGTATCACAGAGCAGACAGCCTCCCCACTAGCTCAGGAGCCAGGCAGAAGGAGAAATCCCACACAAGACAGGCTCTAGAGCAATGTGGATATCCTAACTGGGCCTTCCTGAAAGCAGAGAAGAAACCCAAACAGGACTCCAGTCAGCCATCAGGTGAAAAGGAGGAACCCAGACCCAGACCAGTGGTCATTCCATATGTTGAGGGAGTATCAGAGAAACTGAGACGTTTATTTTCTAAACATAACGTCCCAGTGGCTTTTAAACCCCAAAATACATTAAAGACTGGTTCATCCCAAAGATCCAGTCCCCTGGCACAAACAGAGTAATGTGTATGCTGTTCAGTGTCAGGAGGGTGATCAGTCTTACATCGGGGAAACAAAACAGCCACTGGCCAAAAGGATGGCCCAGCACAGAAGATCAACATCATCAGGCCAGGACTCTGCGGTCTACACTCATCTCCAGGCCAGCGGTCACTCTTTCAAGGATGAAGATGTTCACATCCTGGATAGAGAGGAACGATGGTTTGAGAGAGGAGTAAAGGAGGCCATCTTTGTGAAAAGAAACCGTCCATCATTAAACAGGGGTGGAGGCCTCCGGGTTCAACTGTCCCCCTCTTACAATGCTGTGATTGCTAGTATCACTCAGCCCTCTGTGAACAGTAAACAGCCATCAGGTGCTAATGATCCATTGTTAGGCTGATGGTCCTTCTTGAGCATGTGATCAGCTGGTTTTGGTTGTCAGCAGCAAACTGGTTGATCCACTCTGAGAAGGTGCTATTTAAGAGACTGAGCTGAATACAGCACCTCAGACTGAGGAAGTCTTTCAGATGGAAGACGAAACGTTTCTACCTTTTTTTTTGTTTGTTTGTTTTGTTTTTTGAATGTCCAGAGGACCAGATTTAACTTTTTTACATTTTGTAGGTTAGAGTGTTTTTGCACTAAGGTCTCATAAGGTCTTGGCAGATGGCAGACTTGTCAGTCCAAAGAGACAATAAAATATTGTTCACCTGAGATTCCTGAACCTCGATACCATCCACCACTTGTGGGAGGTAATAGTCACTGGATTTTGATTGACTCGAACACAAGAACGTTTCACGTTGGCCTAGTGTTGGCTCCAACGGTCGATCATGTGTGGCTGGCATTACCTGGGTTTGAGGTAGGATCTCATTTCCCTGAGATTTGTTTTCAGGTTGGGAGATGTTGGTTTCATCAGAAGTATTTAGTGTAGCACACTGAGAGGTTACTTCTGGAGAGAATGTGATGGACAATGGTTGGCATACTTGCAACCAGACTTTGAAATTTTTAAAATCGATCAACGGCTGAAACCTGGACCAATCTGAAGTTTAATCAGGGCCACCGTGGATAAGGTGGTTTCTCAGGAGAGTACGGTTGTACCTCCAAAGAACAGGTCTGAAGGGACAAATCCTTGCCTGTACGATTTGCTGCTAACCGTAGTTTTTCAAACAGTATGGCAGATAATAAAGTGATGTCAGCTCCCGTGTCCAGGAGACCATCATGAGACAGGACCTGTTCCAGGGTCAATGAAAGATAAAACTTTCTCACTACCCTTTTTTTATTAGGTCTAGGGCTGAGTACCAAACCAAGGTTATTTTATGGCACCGACCAAACTGCGCCGGTAGGTGTATGGATTGAAACGTCACTCTTTTTTCAGTGTCAAGTTTAGGTATTGGATGTAAAGTGTCACGTGGTTTCAGCACGCAGGCAGGTAAAACACCAGACATATGACAAACAGACTACGTGTTTACATCCAGACCTGTTATAGAGCTGCCCTACAGCTTGTATGTCTATGGTGCTGGTTCCGCCCACAGACAGGGTTCACGTGTGTAGCGCGTGTGGCGTCGAACAGTTTTAATTTATGAACGGAAAGTTGCTTCGTGTTTGTCTTCAAGGGGGACTGCAGCCTCCCCCCTCCTCCTCTCAGCGTTAAAGTCAGCCTGTAAGTGTGAGAGAGCATGAATGGCCTGAATCATTATCTCCATGACCGGACTCCTCTTCATCAAAGAACTCCAAGGACTGCGCTGTGTCTGGGATTTCAGCTGGTAAGTTTACGTTTGTTAATGTTACTGCAGCTTAATATGTACATCGCGATGAATTAAACTAGAATCCGTGTAACGCTAACTTTAAGATATTAGTGTGTAGCTTTATTTTAGATATGTAGCTAGCTAAATTCAGAAGCTAACCAACTAAAGATTGACAGTAACAGTAACCGATAAAGCTTGTGCTCATCTATACAGTCAGCTGCTTAAACAGTTCACCTCATGCTCACTGTTTATGTTAATGTTCTCCTCACAGGAGCCTCTGTCCCTGATGTGAGGAGGACAGACAAAATAAAAGTGAGATGAGCGTCTCAGGACAGTCAAAAACCTTGTTGTTAAAGTTTGCTGCTTTTAACTACAGTGGAGGCTGCATGGTGGAGGTAATTAAACTTTAAAGGATGTTGTTGACAGTTAAGCTTTTATCTCTCAGCTTAGATAATGGTTTTTGAGCAATAATAACACAACCATGTTATTGTTGATGTTTTGTTCTCATGTCAATTAGGGAGATGATCAGAGCCCTAAACCCCAGAGATCCACAGAGAAGTTTCAGGCAGAGACACAGAGGTGCAGATGTCTGCATCATCCCTACCTCAGTGAATCCAGTGACCTGCTGGTGGTTGTGAGGGACAATATGTCAGTGCTATCAAACGGACAACCAGGTGTCTGTGTGTGCAACAATCATCATCTACAGCCTCAGAGTGAACATGTTCTACTGCTGGAGACACCATC